GAGGGGGGTAAATTAGAGCACTTACTCTGAAATATAGCAGGAGAATGCAAAGTACGAGAAGAAAAAAAGGAGGAAGAGGAAGAAGAAAAAGACTAAGGAGAAGAAGAAAAAAAGAAAGAAGAAAAAGCAGCTTACAAATTTTATTGTGTTTCCCCGCAGGTGTGTCAAAAGACATTTGCCAACGTGTACCGCCTGCAGCGTCACATGATCAGCCACTCCGAGTCCACCGACCTGCGCAAGTTCAAATGTCCCGAATGTGGCAAGGCTTTCAAGTTCAAGCACCATCTCAAAGGTAAGGAAGAGATCGGAGCTATTCATTTTTATTTTTTTCAATGTTCCATTTTTAATTTTGTCGATTGTTTTGCAAGGATTGTTGTTCGTTGTAAAAAAGTTGGCAAGCCTGTAATAATTTCTTTTCTTATTAGTACAAAGTTTGAGGTGGGTAGTTGGCAGGTGTTCTGATGTGATTTGCTTCTTCTTTCCTATCAAACATCTCTCGTCCTTCTTGTAACACCTCTAATCTTCGGCACTTATATGACCTTATTGTGTCGCAAGTGTCGTAAAACACTTACTAAAACTAAAACGCTCACTAAAACTGTCTGTGCGTGTGTATGTTTCAGAACACATCCGCATCCACTCGGGAGAGAAGCCCTTCCAGTGCCCCACCTGCTCCAAACGCTTCTCGCACTCGGGCTCCTACAGCAGTCACATGACCTCCAAGAAGTGCTGGGTCATGGGCCAGCAGAACAAGGCAGCGCAGCAGGCTCAAGGTCGCCGGCCTCCCGTGGCCGAGCGAGAGGAGTCAGGCGGCAGGGGGGCTAACCCCGGGGCTGCGTTCCCTGGACAGGAAGGAGCAGCGGCTGCGGCAGCCGCCGGAAGGTTCTTGTTCCGACCTCTGGGTCAGGTGTTCTCGCAGCCTCTGGCCTCCCCACCACCAGGTATGTTGTCAGCGCTGTGGTTTTTTTGTCGCTCTCTGTCCTTCGTCTGCTTTATCTGCTCAATACATTCTCCACTATTCCTCTACACTTTTTTCTTTTTCATCTCCTCTCGTCTTTCATCCCCTTTCTGACCAAAACTGAGTAAGTAGTGCCGTAAAACACCTACTTAATCAATCAATCAATCTATCAAAACCTAGTATGCTTTTGTGTCTTAATGTGTAAAAATGCTCTTTCTTTCCTGTCAAACTTCTTTCGCCCTAAGCCTGACTGTATTGCAAATGCCGTAAAACGCTTAGTAAAACGTGAACTGTAATATTTGGCACTTGTATGACCTAATTATATGGCAGAAGTCGTGAAACTCTAATAAAAATCCAAACAAAAAGAAAACTAAAACAATAAACCTAACTGTTTTGCGCCCCTCCTCCAGGTGCGTTCCCTCAGCCTTTCCTCAAGTTTGACCAGTCCCCGGCGGCTCTGAGACACCAGTTCTACGGAGCAGCCCCGCCCCCGATCTCTTCGG